TTAATAATTTGAGTAACTGAGATGGGGATCCCCGGGGATCCCGGCGCATCTGGCTCCCACCGAAATGCTTAGAGGCCTCTGAGGGTCTGGGAGCGCTGTAAAAGCTCCGGTTAGGCTGCCCCGTATTCTTCTGTGGTGGGAAAAAGGCTGAACTTTGGCCGTGCGTTTTGAGTACCTGTGGGGCTGAATGAGTTATGCAAAAATGAATGAATATGCTCCTGATTCTGAGGGACAAACCAGACTCTCCAGTGAAGCAGATACCCTCACTGCCACCCCCTTGAGTATGTTCTTATTTTACTGTGGCATCGGGGTCGTAACCGAGTTGGAGAGCAGCTGCCCAGAAGGTGGCCCAGAGCTGGGGCCCGGTGCAGGCCAGCTTACACCCTCCCCACGCCAGCGTCCCCTCCGTCCCCCTTCCAAAGAAACCCATCGCTGCATGTTCCAGCTCTCTCTGAAGCCACCGTGCGTCAACCACCTCGCCTGACACCTGTGTGATAAATGACATTTTTAAAGTGGGTGACTGTGTTTAGCGCCAAAGCAACACGAGGGTATTGCCAAGGAGGAGGTGAATGCTCAGCACCACGTTCTGCTGTACTGATTCCATTTCTTATGCTTGCTACACACAAATGTGTGCATGTACTCCCCAACCGCCCCAAAAAATAACCAAAAGTAAGGCCAGTGCAGTATGATTTAAGTTGACGGAAGATAGACTTTGCTTGATGCTCTCTCCCTTATTTTATAATGAAGCAGAATCCAGATTGTTGTTGCCTTGAAGGGAGTACTGTGCCCAAACCTCACATGTACCCACTTTGCCAGACAGCAAAGCTAGCAATGTTCTTCCAAAGGTGTTCCAACTGACTGTCTCCAGCTTCTCTCTTACATCTCAAAGGAACGCTTTTGGTATTGCCATGTATTTGTATTCCTTTTTGTATACATTCACATCAACTTTTTAATGACCTACTGAAGAATTTTTGCTGGGCTGCGTGAATATGCCAAGCCTGAACTTTAAAAATAGCTCTTTCTTTCACTGTAGGACTTTTTTTACACATTTATGTGGCAATATATTTAGTATATGTATTTATTTATCCAGTTGAATACTGTCTTTTTATTGAAACAATCACAAATGTTTCCTTCATATTTTCAAGGCCTAAAGCCAGAAGGAAATAGAAGTTGAGTTTAATTTGGGGCGGATATTTTTTGATGCTTAGCTATTAAACTGAGGATAATTGCAATTATTTTTTTTTAAATTCACAAGCAGAATACTCATAAAAAATTACAGTTACTTGAAAGTTGTCCTATAGCATAACACTGTGAATACCTTTAGGATAAATGATACTATCTAAGCCTTATTGTTGGGAAGTGCCTGTTTAAAAGAAAGAAGAATATGAAATAGCCTTATTATATTAGAAAAATGATTAATTAGAAAGTACATGTGAATTTAATCTTATTTGTCAAATGCCAGTGAGCACTTGTAAATGAGAACTTCTGTATTATTGCAAAGTGATGCAGTTTACGTTCTTCTATTCAAGAGAACCAGAAGAATAGATAGGAGAATCAAAATTTCATCCTGATCCCATTTCGTAAAGGACTTATTGTAACCTAAGTAAAAGCTATTGGCTCATATGAATTCTGAAGTAGTTTCCATCCATTTAGTTTGATCTTCTGCATCACACTAAAAACATGCAATTTGACCAGAATGCATAAACAGGACTGACAAAGGTTCTTAGTGGGTGTTTATAGTACTTATGCAATTTGAAGCACTATCTGAAATTGTTTCATTTTATGTTAAAATGTTTTTGAACAAAACCATGCCAGACAGTTCATTGCTACAAAATGTTTAAAAGGTGTCAGCCACCCCTATGTACTGAAAATGAAGATGGGAAAAGATACTTCCCAGACCTTCTGCAGCAGTGTTTTTGGAGCAAGATTTGCCTCTAATTAAAAATCTCGCCAAAGAGGATATTTATAATCTCCTGTTTCTATGGAAATGAGGAACATAACTAAGTAACTTTTTTCTTTTGTGTACTTTCAAGGCTTGTGTAAGTCAGGGGAAAAGCTTTCATTGATTCCAGTGATCTCCCAGTCATGCTCTTTATGGGCAAACGTTCAGTAGTAGTTACCAACACATAACTTTTTTTTTATACAGAAACTGTTGGGCAGATTTAAGAAAACATGACAGTCGAGGTGTCTGTAGCTGTCAATGAATATGCAAAAAAACCCCAACCAAATAAAAATCCAGGAGGCACAACAGTGTTTCAGTACAGAGTGGGGCAGGGCTATGCCTAAGTTCAAGAAGACTAAATGTGGAGGAACAGCTCAACATCAAATATGTTGTGATAGCCTAGATATTTTTGAGACATGTTTTATTGCTCTACTACATGAAATTGTAAGCAGAGGTTAGTTTCAGTGGTGGTCCTTTAAAGGCTATATAGCAGAAATGCCGTTAAGTCATGCACTTCACAAAGGCAAGTTTCTCGCCATTTATCCTTCTAGTCAAGGTTCACGTGGCCAAGCTGTAGAAAGAAGAAAGACAATATGTGACTTGAGGAACATGATTGTGAATAAAACCTATTAGGGTCACTTTTTAGCCTGAACCAATATCAAAACAAAGCTTTGTAATGATTCCAAGATATCTTGTGAACCTCAGTTCTTGTCTTTCATAAGGAATTGTAATAATTGCTCATTTGGAGTTTTTTTTGTTCTTCTACCGATGACTTTGTGTCTTCATAGCTTTCTGAAGTCTTTACCGGTTGGCTGATTTTTGCCCTACTTAATCTTTACTGCCACTGTATGCTGTGGGATCTCCTAATTGTTGTATTCTGATGCGCATGAAACTAACATATATTAAATCTGTAAAATACTTTTTTTCTGTAAATGTATGGATTTACAGACTAGCTGATAGTGAGGTGAGATGCGGACATTTTGTAATCACTTAATGTTTGATGATTTGCCTAAATTAAGAACCTCGCCTTTGGAAAGAAGTACAGTCTTCCACTGATTGTACAGATACCATCCATGAACAACATAATTCATTATCCCTATGTGCTGTTTCATCTGTAGAATATTTATTTATGTGTGACTTTAAAATACCTCTAAACCAGAAATGTAGAATGTATGATTTTAGGACTTTTAATCCCACTGTCTGAATCTCCCATTGGAGAATCCCTCCTTACTGGTAATCTTACATTTGCATTTCGAGTTTGAAAGTAGTAAGAAACTTAGACTTGCCACTAGTTTAGTATCAAATATTTCCTCTTTCCATCTAGTTGTTTGCAGTTTCAGGTGAAATTTCTCACGTTCTGTGGGGAAAAAAACATAGCATTTGATTTCTGAGATGTACCGAGAAGCAAAATTACTAATAGGAAAAGTGAAAAAGTAAATTATAACTGGAAGAGAGTATGTCATATAATTAATTCAGTCAATAGAGTGTACTAGAACACTGATTTTATATCAGTTACATATTGTCGAACACCATGAAGTATTCTTAACAGTACTGTTTAATATTCAGATTTCAGACAATTGGCCCGGATACAGCCTGGATTTGTTCACTTACCCTCAGCACTACTACGGAGATCTGGAATATGTGCTCATACCTCATGGCATTATTGTTGACAGGTATGTGTAGTTTGAATGTTACTAGATAAATTCTTTGGTCAGTAGTATTATTCTTTTTTATGAAGCCTGTCATCCACAGACAGTATGCATATAACATTTGTCTTAAAATATTATATTAGCCATTATAAAAATACTTTTATTTATTTAATTTGGAAAGTAAAAAAATGCTTGAAGGTTTGGAAATGCTAGACTTGTAGTTGCCTTTGCAACTCCCTGTCTAATTTATTTCACCTAATTTCTGATTTGGGCATTGAATGAGACAGAGGTCCCACAAAAAGGAAAGTGTGATCATATAGTGAAATTGGCATTGGAATGTAAACTACAAGAGAGCTGAACTGAAGACGAAAGGGCAGGTACAAATCTTTGTATATAATTATACTCCAATGTCCCACTTGCACTCTGACCATCCTGTGTTTTTAACTTAAAAAGGAGAAAAAGCTACGTTCAATTATGTATAACTTCGGCAACTCCCTAGTACGAGTCATTAATGCCAATTAACCTAATGGTTCCCGACTACACCATTGACTTCTGCCATTGAGCACGACTGAAAAGTGTGTCGTGGACTGTTTGGGTCCCCATGTTTGGAGGGTGGCAGTTGGAAAGCTCGATCATCCCTCATTCCTTACCTTGTAGTATTTCCCATGTCCTATCAGTGTAGGCATTTGATGGTGCTTTTGTATTTGTGGTAGTCCAGCTCAGTGTTCATGTTCAGTTACTATTTTGAAGTGCTGTTAAAAACCTTATGAAAAAGTTACAAAATGGAAATAGTCATTTTCAGCTGTAGTGATTGGGAATATCTGAATGGAATTTCATGGGACCTTTTCAACCTGCAGCTTTCTGCCTACCACATTTAAACAGCCAGTTGCAAGTACTGAAATTGTTGGAACTCCTTGAAAGAAGATTGTAAACATCCATCATAAGGAAGAGTTATGACTCCTGTGTTTGTTTTTAAACACAAGCTTTCTTTCATTGCCTTTTCAGTTACCATTGTGTTGAATTTTTCATCTCTTTGGTTAGAGTCAACTGACTTTTAATTCCTCTGTTTTAAATAAGTATGTTACAACTTCAGTTCTCATAGAATTCAATATAAATTTGTTTGAAGTAAGCACTGAACTCCAGTGTTGGTTTTGTACTCCAGCAGAATGAACACCACTATTTTTTCTTACTCTGGCTGAAAAGACTGATTCTGTTCTAACGGAAAAGGACACAGAACTGAATATATTGTGATCATACATAATTTTCATGTAGGAAGAAGGCTCAGCACTTGAGAAAATTCTCTTGTCCATTGGTAACAATTAAATACAGGTTAAAAAAATAGTATGTTTTTGTTTAGAAATTGAAATAAGTACATTTTTGTCTATGCTGGATTTTTTTTTTAAATTTTAGCTCCTCAAACAATCAGAGGAACAATATAAAAAAATGAAAATCACAAGACAAATGTTTCTTCTTAATGAGAATTTTTCCCCATTATTCTCAGACTTGATAAAAAATGATGAAAAACTGTTTTACTAATCTTCAGTAAAGTAAGTGAAAGTCTTTTATTAATCTTTGTTCTTACATCGGTAAAAGGAATTATATATTTGAGGTCAAACAAGATGATCTAATGATATTTTCTATTTTTGAAATAAAAAAAATACTAATTACTGCAGTGTGGAATTTACTTGGACATTACAAATACAAAGATGTGAAAATGAAGCAACAGCTTTTGCTCATAACTAGTGTGTTATCTGCAATTTAGAGCTTATTCTTCTCTGGTATGTCCACATGTGTAGACTTCACTAAAGTTCAATGTGGCAAATGGATTCCTATATTGCAATGTGTATAGAAAAAAAAATACGAAAAATGTAATCATGAAAGACATGGGATGTTATAGGATTATTTAATAAATTGCATCCTGTCAAGAAGTCCACTCTCACTGAAATGACTAATCTAATTCAGAGAGCTATCAAAGACATTTCCAGTGAAAGTGTTCCCAGAAAACAATGCACTGAGCTGTTTTTCCTCAAAACGTCAAATGACATTGTTCAGTTTTCTGTTGATACCTGCTTTACATCTAGAAATGACCTGGTACTCCGTTTTAGGTCTAGAATTGCCATCTACCATGTTCTTTAGAAAGCAAAGCTACTTAAGATAAGCGTTCATGTTTATTATTTTTATCTTGAAAACTTATGTACTATGATATGGCAGAAATGTATATCTTTTGGTTTCAGTCATCTGCCACATTGTGTTTGCAATGCAGAATTATCAAAGAGAAGACAGAAGTGGGAACCCTGCAATTCTGGGTTCCTTGGAACATAACCTTGATTATTCTCATGTGTGTGATCCTGAACAAATCACTTAAGCTCTTTGCACTGTTCTTTTTTGTTGTATGAAATAGCGATAATGTACACTCTTTATAAAATATTGATTGATGTTCTATTTCTCTATAGAATTTCTGTGTATTTTTTGTTAAAATTGTAGGGCTAGTGTCTTCCAAAGCCTATCAGCATGAAATACTTCTCATAATTTGCTTCCCTATCTTTCACTTAATTTATTGTTCTTGGGTAGTAACTAACATAGCAAGTTAGGAGATTGTAAAGGCAAATTTTATATTGATATTTCCTGTGAGGTAAAACTGAAGGCGAAGTTGCATTCTTTACTCCAGAGTCTCTGAAATGCTTATGAATTCAACATATGCTGAGATGTGTTACTCCCTTTTCTGTAACTGGGGAATTTATACATTTAAGGTTAACCAGTTTGATTCACATGCTTTGCATCTTGCATCCATCGCTTTATATCTACCTACTGTGAACTTGATTCAAACCCAGTCAAGTCAAGTCAAGACACTTAAACAGACTGTCACTCAAGTTATATACTCACTATAGTGTTTCTTTGTAACCACGTGGAAAACATACCATGAACTTAAAAGGATCTGCATCTAATGTTATTTTACCTTTAATTTTTTTTGCCCCAGGACAGAACGATTGGCCAAAGATATTATGCAAGACATTGGAGACAATGATATTGTGGTTCTCTGTGTCCTCAAAGGTGGCTACAAGTTCTGTGCTGACCTTGTGGAGCACATTAAAAATCTCAGCAGAAATTCAGAAAGGTTCATCTCCATGAAAGTCGATTTTGTTAGACTGAAAAGTTACCACGTAAGTCAACAACTTCTTTATGTAGATTCTGGTTGCATATTCAGAATAAATAGTGGACTTTTGTAAATGGGATTTTTTTTTCCCCCCTGAAATTATAAGAGAAACAGTGTGAAAAATATTTTTGTTTGAAAAAACTCTGAGGTTTTTCTTCAAAATATTTGCGGATGTCCATTTATACTTTATGAATAATATGAATGAGGATATGAAGCATCCTCAAGCTGTGTTTTTTTAGTCTGTCTTCACTTTTGGACAGAAATTTATTCAAATTTCCGTCATGTAAAATGTCGGCATGTTGTTTGTTCTCAAAATCCGCAACAGTTCTGTCAAGTTTATTTCATGTTACTTCATTTTCCACCCCCGCTCCCACATAGTTTGGCATAACTGCAAGATGATAAATCTATATCTTATTCTAAATGTTTAATGCTAAGCAAATGAAATGCTTTCATCTTCATAACATGCAGTTTGCATAGTAGCAAAATATACCACTAGATGATGATAGTGTTTTATAAGAAGATGAAATAAGCCATTGAACCAAATCCAGTGTTGAAGTAAGGATCAAGACTTCCTGTTATCTTCAGCGGAAATTATGCAATAATGATTCATTTGTTTCAAAAAGGCAATGATAGTGAGATGACCGTGATTACAATTTCTGTTTGCATAAGCTCAACATTTATATTCCACCTTGTAGTGCATAGTTTGTAGTGAGGGAGCATTTCTAGAAATAAGTTGTCCTAGAAATGTCTGAGGAAGTAAACTAAATAAATGGAGTGATAATAGTTTCTCTCTGAGCACAAATGCAACTTGCGGATTCCAATAGTTCCCACGATAACTACGTTCTTTCCACAGACAGAGTTTGGTTGGTTGGCAATTTGCTCTGACCCCAATGACCATAAACTTTTCCTAACTTTTGCAAATAGTGTCTGAATTTTTTCCATCATGGAAGAAAAGTAGATGAGAGCCTTTTGTAGCCATTTGGTTAGGATTTGGTCCTAGGACTTCTTTTTCAAGAATTAGTCAGGTCTATGAAGGACGTGCAATACTAATTTTATACAATTTCTAGCTGTTTAGCAGTATTACAGAACTAATTAATAAAGTAAAATATAATGTTTGTCTCACATAAAGGTACATGGAAATTATACTTTTTTTTTTTGTGTGTAATAATGATAACTTTTCAATAATACTGCTTGGTGAATAGTGGAATTACTTAAATAGGTTTTTATTTTGCACCTGCCATATAGGTAATGCACAAGCTTTTCCTACTGGGTTGTCTCTTATCCAGTATGAAGATACTCTGGTTCTAAAATTTCTTTCCTTGGTGACAAGTCAACTCTTATTAGCCAGACTAACTCCCAACCAATGAGTGGCAGAAGATGTAAACTGCAAAAGTGTGGAAACCTTCACATCATTGCTTAGGAAATAAAATAAAAACATGTTATATCAAGCTGAAACTGCAATACAAATTTTGTTATGCAAGGATGCAATTATCAAGACTTAAGTTCTGGATGATCCTCACACTCAGTGGCTGTACATATTTTGGATCTTAGTCTCATGCTTTAGCAGGAAGGTGGCTACTTCCCTAGAACTAGTGCTTGCATCTAGTTTTTAGAAAATAAATCTTTTTTTTTCTTCTAAGTGCTTCCAAACAGGTGTCATGTATTTAGAGCCTGAAGCTGTGCTTGATTTAATGCTTGGAACAGTGCTTGATACCTGTCTGGTCTTAAGAAGCTGATTGACACTGCAGTATAAATTTGAAATGTCATTAATATTGGAAGATTCATTGCATGAGAAATGCATAAATGTAATGCTGACTAAAGTACCAGTACCACTACCTGCCATCCTTTGCATTTTGTGTTATTGTTGTGTCCTGTCCAATTGCAGGTTTTGGAGACTGTACCTGTGTCAACATAGCTGTGTCCAGAACACTTGAGGAACTCGCTGTTACTAGTTTGAGTGACTCTTTATCCCGGCCTTATACGAGACTCCCAAATCCCCCATGTCAGTTTATTCTGTAATAACATACTTCTCAGAGTGTTTTAAACTTTAAAGAGAGGCAAATAATTACAGTTTTAGAGGTAAAACTTTACATGAAGTATTGGAGCATCACCGGTTCCACTCCTTTGCTTCCCTTTGCCTTTTCTGTTCCACTTTCTATTAAGACTTATTACTGCTCTCTCTTTTTATCCCCTTTTCATTTTACAGACACTGTTCTTTTCACATTATTTATCCTGCTTCCTTTTACTAACTGTTCTTTGTTTCTCTCCTAAAGGGAGTCCTGCTGCTCTCAATATACTTCCTTCAGATATGTCTCCCTTCCCCCCTTCAGCTGTTTAAATCCAACAACTAATCTCAGCTCAGACTCATGGGATTTTTGAATTTTCTCATTCCAACTTCAATACTGAAAGGTCAGTTGATTTTTAGAGGTTGTGGGATTTCTTGGTTTAATCGTGTAGCAAAAATGGGCTGTAATTGTGACCCAAAGTCAGAGCTTGGCATCAGTGAAAGTACATCTTAACTGCAAAGTATCAGTGGAAGATGTCATACTTTGATGTCTGGCATATGGACATGATTACAGGAAAAGGAGTTTACAAGTATGGCCAACTTTACATGGCTCTTTGTTTTTCAAACCTGTCATCATATTCCAGAATTTAGACACTTAATTGGTATGTTAAGATCTGCTTTCATATTAAGTAGCTGTAAGTTTGGCATGTAAATTTTTTTTAGACTTCTTCATACAAATGAATTGATTTTTAAAAACAAAGTCATAGTGCATTTAGATTCTCTGGGTATTAATGAGACAAGTGACTGCTTGTACTTCCATAATCAGGATGGTTTTATCTGGTTTGCAAAATATTGACATATGTGCCTAAGCCTGGACATTTTTATGAGAAACTTTCCTATGTTATACAAGTGGTGTCTTGTTTCATTATCTCAAATTGACACGTCAGATTACTGAATTTAGTATATATACAGGTAATGTGGGAAAATGCCATTTGATTATTATTTTTAGATGAAACAAAGTGGAATCCAACATAGGAAATGATAACCTAAAAATGATGTGGTTATACTGTCTAAATTCTACAGACATCTACAGAACATCTAGTTCTTAGACCTTTAATATAATTGCTGCAACTGAAACTGGAGGTGCAGCCTTCTCTGAAAGCATATTTTCTTCTAACAATCAAACTGTATTTTGCCATTTCTTTAGCTTTTTTTTTCACTGGAATGCTAAAATGATACAGTAGAGAAAGTTAAGGCATTTACACATGTGGACAGAAACTTATAGGCTCAGGTGTAGATCAATAAAGAAAAAATTAGCTGTGCTTAATTGTAAACAAAGTTTATATCTGTAAATCAAGAAATAAACGATTTGCAAAGAAACACTTGATAACATTGTTACAACTCCAATTTTTAAGGCTTCTTAATCAGTAAGAATGATATTAAAAATAATTATGAAATGGAAAAGCATCATAAGTGGAAGATATGTGGATAGTTTTCCTCCATAGAAATACGATTTTTGGAGAATGCTGTTTCTTGTAGACTTACAAGAGATACAATATACTTGTTCTCATTTTAATTTTGTGTATTTAAATGAGCTCAAAATAAGGAGATTGTTTGAATGCAGGTTTGGTTAGAGTCTGTATGGTGACTTTACAAGCTTCTAGCACAGCTGGGAAATTAAAAGAAAGCACCAAAGCAAGAGTTAGAAAACATGATTTCAGAAATAAACAGATATAGAAGTGTCATTAAGGGTAAGAGTCAGGAAGTAGATGGAGAGGAAAATAAAATCCAGTGATGGAAATCTGGATGAGAAGCAGCAGCTCTTGAGTTTTAAGAGGCAGAAAAGAGAAAACATGCATGCTAGTCACTTGGACGAAACTTCTAGAGCATTATGTGGATTTGGTCAATTCATGTAATTCTTTAAAATGAATCCATTATTTATGGTTTCCAAAACATAACTAATAAAAAAACGTGACCTCTGAATTGTAATCCATGCACAATGGTTGCATTGAAGTCTGTTCACAAACAAATCTATTGATATGATCTGTTTCCTCTTCAGCCTCCAGTTGTTTGAAATATATTTACAACTGTTGGTTATTAATCTTGGCATAAACAGGACCATTAGTGCTGCGAAATTCTGAAAACAAGCAACAGAACAGGCATTGTTTAGTAGAAATCTGAATGTTTTTGCTATATGAAGCCATCTCAGTAAACAGTTTTGCTAAACCTCTCTACTGTAGGAGTAAGGAGCAGAGGGATTTTATAATGAGTAAGTTGAAAGCCGGTTGGTAAATGCAGTAAAATAATTCATTTTTCTGCCATGTAGCTTTACTTCTCATACACCGTTACTAAATACTTACATCATAAAAAACACAACAGCATGAGGCATCAGACTATAGTCAGAGTAGAGAATGGTGTAAAATGTACATTCCTGCTTTGCATAATAACCTGTTCTTTTTCAGTATAATGTTACTGCATGGAACTTGGTTTTTTAAGATCAGTATGAACTTTCATCTGAAAACAATGCGTTGTAATCTTCACACTAAAAAGCAAGTAACTTCAAAATAGTTTTATTCCTTTAACAACACAAAAGAAACAAAGTGTATTGCTTGCATTTAGTGATTCATATCTATACCCAGACTCTATAACAGTGTTCCAATGATTGTTTATCTCCATGCCTGTGTGTCATGAAAACACAGCTTATGATCTCCTGAGAAAAACGCGTGTCCTTAGATGAAAGAGAATCCACGTTAGCTTTTGTACTTACAGGTTTTCTCTTGGGCAGGTTGCAAGTTTCCTTTATTTTTCTTCATGCACACAGTGTAGCTGATGACCATGTCTTCTTGTTGATGCTGAGTAGCAATGAAAGAATTACAAATTGGAGCCTACCTAGTAGAATGAAATCCTATCAACATTAAGGCCAAATTCTGCAATAATTTTACAGGACTGAACTCCAAATTATCTGCGAATTATCAATTTGACATGCAAATAAATAGCTTCAC